CCCAACCCCACCCCGGGCACGGCTCCCCAGGGCTGTGAGCTCAGGAACGTGGCGGGGGCGACCAGAGAGCGAGCCCAGGTGGGGGGCTGGGCCTGCCCCTCACGACAGTGTCACCGCAAGGACCCCACCCAGCGCGGGAAGAGCAGGGCTTCGAGTGACCAGGCCCAGCGGTCAAGGCCCCGAGGAGCCTGGCGGCCCACGCCTGTGGGGAGGCCCGGGAACAGGCAGGGTGGGGTGAAGGCCCCTGGAGCCCAAACCGGGCAGGTGCTGAGGTTTGGGCCTGGGCTCTCACATTTGGTCACCAGGAGCTCCTCGAAAGCCTTGATGCCCTGGGCGGCCCTCTCCCGCGTGTCTTCGTTGGCAGGAGGCCCCTGTCGGATGGTGTCCTGTTACGATGTGGATGGAACCCGACTGTGCTCCCCGCCGGGACTCGGGACCCCATCCCCCAGCTTCTCGAGCAGCCCAGCCACGTGTGAGGCCAGGCCCCGGACGCCTGGCCCTAGAGCGCTGCCTTGAGAACGGCTCTGGACACCACCCGGCAGCACATGGTGAGCTCCGTGACTCCACGAGTGCTGACGAGGGGGGCGGGACTGCCATCAACCACGGGGACACCTCTGCTGCTAGGACTCCATGCTCCTGCCCACGTGCCACCTCTCCAGGAAACGCCCCAGGGGCTTCTCTGTGCAGCGAGGTCAGCTGGCACCTTCCAGGGGGGGAGACCTTGACTTTCGCCCCCGAACCGGCAACTTTAATTTAGGGGGGCTGGGGGCACTCTCCTGAAGAATCCAAGGGAAGTCACGACACCCACAGAAGGCTGCGGGGACGAGCGCCCCTTCCCACAGAGCCTGCCCACCCTCCCTGACGAGAGCAGAGCCTGCACCACTCACCACTCCGGTGACCTTGTCCTTGAAGTAAGGCTTCATGAAGTGCCCCATGTACAGACTCGAGGTTTGGTTCCTGCCGTCCTTCACCCTGGAGCCCTTGCACCCCACCAGTTCCCACATGACTTCCTCCTGTGGCAGACACAAGGGGCCACCTGTGGGCCAGGCAGCAGTGCCTCCCCTTGGAGAGGAGGGGACCCGGAGCCCTGGTCCCGGGAGGCCTGGCTGCAGGGCTTCTCGGGGCCAGACCCTGTCCTACCTGCTGCTCCCGGTTCTGGGCCAGCAGCAGGCTGACCTCCGCCAGCTTCTCCCGGATGACCTCCTGGTAGACCATGTTCAGCTGCAGGCAGGTCTCTGGGTCTTCAGGGAGTGCCTTCTCCCTGGGGTCATCCTCATCATTGCTGGCCTCCCCCCACCTTTCTCCTTCCTGGTGACAAGTGGAAAACTGCAGGTAAGGGAACACTCCCGCACCCTCCGGGCCCCAGTGGAGCTACATTCTGGCCGCTGGGCTGGTGTGAGACCACCCTGACAGAGGACCACACAGCGCACAGACACATTTCCTAGTTTTAAGACAGTTCAACTTATGTGTAATTTCTGGGCTTCCCTGGCAGCACAGTGGATAAGAACCTGCCTGCCAACTCAAGGGACAAGGGTTTGATCCCTGGTCCGGGAAGATCCCACATGCCACAGAGCAACGAAGCCCGTACGCCACAACTACTGAGCCTGTGTTCTAGAGCTTGCGAGCCACAACTACTGAGCCCGTGTGCCACAACTACTGAAGCCCGCACACCTAGAGCCTGTGCTCTGCAACAAGAGCAGCCACCGCAACGAGAAGCCCGCGCACGGCAACGAAGAGTAGCCCCCGCTCGCCACAACTAGAGAAAGCCCGTACACAGCAACAAAGACCCAACGCAGCCAAAAATAAATTTAAAAAATTAAAATTAAAGAAAAAAAAAGTACTATCTAAGAATAAGTTTCAGGTGGTGAAGTGTAACAAGATAAGCAGTTTTCACTTTCTACAATAAAAACTTGTGTAAAACTTGGACTTTGTAAGAAGCTCGCTGGCAGCCGCGGTGAGCGGGAACAGGGGCTGCTGCAGCGTTGTAAGACTAAAAACAGAGCCAGCCCCGATGTCTATCTCGAGGCGATGAGTCTAAAAACCATGGAACTACAGTAAATCCATATCAGAAGGACCACCCAGCTACTAAAAATAGGAAGCAATTCTGTTTCTGTTGACTTGATGAAAAAAACAAAAAGCCAACTGTAAAAATCTTCCAAACTAGTGTAAAATTAAAACATAAGCAAAAAACGGTTTAAAACCGGCACCACCTTTGTGCTTACTTGCCAGGCGCTGTTCTAGGCCTGGTACGTGTGCACTGACTGGTACTGTGAGTTCCCCCATGGCACAGACTGGGAAACTGAGGCAGAGAGGTGAATACGGGGCAGGACCCAGCCAGCCCGCTCAGCCTCCCGCGTGTCAGGTCACATCCCCTGACATCAGTGGAGCCAACAGGAGCTCAGAGGAAGCAAGAGGTGTGAATGCCCGGCTGTTAAGAACGTTCTATCCAGGGGCAACCTTACTTCCGATGATACTGCAGCGTGTTTCCTCTTTACTAACAAACACGCGTTACCTTAAAGATGCAGAAAAACCAAGACGAGTTCAGAACACCCCCCTCCCCGGACCCCCTGGCAGGGTGGTGTGCCTGCCTCAGCGGCACAGTCACCTCAGGCCAGAAGTTACCAAGGGCAGTGGGCCAGCAGTGTCCGAGTCCTCATCGGGCAGCGAATCTGCAGGAACGCAAGCACATGGATCAGTTAACTACGACGGAGATGGCGGCTGGTGATGGGACGCCACAGGCGCCGAGGAGACCGACAGCCAGTGCAGCACGCAGCGCATCTCCCAGGCAGACAAGAGAGGTCCGGAGGGTGGGACATGTGCTGCGTGGACCTGCCCCTCCCCGCCCGTGCCCAGTGGCCGAGCACTGCCCATCGACTGTGTGAAGCGGGCACTAGGCCGAGGACAGGGTCAGCCAGAGAGAGAAGACGCCAGCCCAACGCGGAGTGCCGCCAGGCGCGCAGGGACCATGACGGTGGGGACAACCAGGGCAGGCTTCACAGGAGACAGCTCTGCCCTGGGGGAAGTGAAGCCACTCAGAGGAGGGGACGGGACAGGTACAGAGGCCCCGATGCCAAGTGAGGAAAGGCCCTGGTGTAGCTGGGAACCGTGAGAGGCTTGGTCTCAGAGCTGCAGCTGGGCCTGAGCGGGCTGAGCAGGCCGGGGCCCTGGACGGCTCAGCCACTGCAGGCAGGCCTCTAGCCAGAGCTGCGGGAAGGGACACTCAGGGCCCAGGAAAGCACGCAGAGTGGACAGAACAAGAGCCCTGGCAGCAGGGTCCTCGGACAGAGGGCAGCTGCCTGAGCCCAGGGAAGAGATCCATGGGGTCTCAGTGGTGGTGACTGTTCAAGCCCGGGGGCGAGCTCAGCCCTGCAACCTTCCGACTGCTGAGGAGGACAACACGGCCCCTCTTCCCAGGACAGCCGGCTGCACCACGGGGCAGGGTGCTCACACACAGCCAGCGGGGCCAGGGGCTGACGACGGAGGAGTGGTAACACACTGTCCAGCAGCACAGCACATTGCGGCCGACCGGAGCCCGAGGGCAGACACGGCCGCTCTGACCAAGGAGCGTAGACACTGACCTGCATCAGAATCCGAGTCGAGACTTGACTCTGAGGTGTCCACGTTGATACTAGAAGAGCCGGGATCCAGGATCCTTTCCAACTCCCTGATCTCCTTCGATATTCTGACTCTTTCAGCATCTATATCCATGACGTCTGCCCGCCTGCAAAACAAGCTATGTTATAAACCAAGGCGGTGCAGGAATCCCACCGGCCCTCAGACGCGCAGGCCTGCAGGGGATGGACCAAAGCATGCACCAGGCGAGAGGCCGGGCCCGGGGAGCCCTGGGACCGACCTGACACCCACCTGTGCCCCGTGAACTCCCGCTTTTGCTCTGTCAGCGGCCCTGAGGCTGCGACCAGCACAGCGGGGGAGAGTGATGGACACCAAAACAGTCCAACTGCCACCAAGCCATGAGTGAGCTGGCCACCCAGTGCGCTAAAAGGAGGGCGTGGTGGCAAAGTCACTAGAGGACAAGAATGAGGCCCATGGCCCCTAGGTGCAGCCGCTTGCCCGCGGCACAGACCTGGACACACAGGGTATTGGGCAAGCGAGCACTGAAATACACACTGACTACGTGGCAGGGGTCAAAGCCCTGGGAGGAAGCCCCCTGGGCCTGCTGTAGCCCCACCATCTAGCACAGCACCTGGCCTTCGGGGCTATCTGACACTGAACAAACCCTTGCTGAAAAAACAGGGACCTCTTTTCTTAGGAACAAGGATGTGGAAAGTCTAAAAAGGGGTCGAAGGTGGGAGAATAAGTGGGCGGCAGGGGAAACGCCAGGGGAACAGAAGCACAGACCCAGGAGCCCAAACCACTCAGGAGCAGCCTCCTCCCGCCCGTGCAAGGCCTCTCCCCGCTGCAGGCGACGGGGGCCTCCACTACGACAAACAGGGCCGCCGCCAACCAGAGCGTCCCCAGCTCGCGCAGCAGCACAAAGCTGAAATGCGAAGTGTTTATAACCCAGCTCGGCTTGAAGCCAGCCGGTCTGCAGAACCGACAGAAGCTCCGGGTGGGCGCGGGGCCACTACCTCCTCGGGCAGCGGGAAGGAGGCCTCCAGGACGGCGGCGCGGTCCCGGCCTAGGGACCCCCGCGCGTCGGGGCGCCCCGCAAGCTCTGACCCCGACGGCGCCCGCTGG